GCCTTGCCCCGCAACGCTTAATCGTGTCTCCGTCCCTGCGTCTTTGGATTTGCTGCAACACAAAGCCGGGCTTATTCGAGGGTCCCGAGTCCGGGTCTGCTGGTTATCTCTGACCGAGGATATGCGAGGCTTCCCACAGCCGTCCGGCCGACGCAAAGGTTGTTGGTCATCGCCCTGCATAATTCCTTGAGAGCTATCAGGCATATTTTCGTGTGGCCGTCGCTGAGGCACTTTGACCAAACCGTTAGTTTTGGGACAATAGTGGCTCAGGTGCAGCAACGATTCGAAGAAACTGGTGATCTGTCAGACATGCAAGGTCCGCTGGTAGCAATGTGCGATGCTGCGATTCTGGGAACAGTGTCAGCGGGAGGGCCCGAGGACAAGCGATATCCATTAACCACGAAAAATATGAGGCCCATGATTTCTCAGACAAGACTGGGACGTCTCCTTTCTGCACAGAAGCTGTAAACCTCCGCTATAGGTGTAAGACGATTCCAGCTACTTAAATCAAGCCCCAGGCAAGGACATCCCTACACTGACGTTACTACACTCTTGCTTCAATGTAACAAAAGTTTGTACTCGAAGGCTTTTGGTACCAAAACTGACAAGCATGCGTGAGTTGGAAGAATTTCGGTGATCGGTACCGCAGTCACAGTTTTCAAATGAATGTCTCGAAAAGGCGACAACGGTCGTGCTCTTCACAGTACAGCGACGACCACCGCATGCGACGCGAACTTGACGAACACAGCTCTCATGCAGGCCTCATGATATGGCTCTCGCAGGAGCTGTGCTCCGTACCAGGGCACGGACACCTGGTTGGTATCTCGTGCACGGGCCGCGCGCTCCGGCTCTCGCACGCGCAGTGCTCCGCACCAGGACGCGGATACATGGTTGGTATCTCTCGCACAGGCCGCGCGCGCTGGCTCTCGCACGCACCATGCTCCGTACCAGGCCGCGGATACCCGGCTGGTATCTCTCGCACGGGCCGCGCGCTCTGGCCCTCGCACGCACTGTGCTGCGTACCAGAGTGCAGATATCTGGCTAGCGATCTAGGTCACAGTCGAGGCGCGGGCTGGCTGCGCATAGGCGGCGGTCCGGCAGTGCACGCGCAGGCAGCGAGCCCGTCCTGCTCTGCGTGCGCCTGGCGGCCGACCAGAGCAGGACCCCCGTCACCGAGCCGGCATCCTTGGTGGCGCCGCGCTCCGGTCAGAGCGACGCCGACCCGGCCGGGGTCATGACCGTCAGGGGCCGACCCCGCTGGCGGCGCCGGCAGTGGCGGGCCCCGCACCTGTCGAGGGGGTGGCGCAACGCCATAACAGATACGGAGGACACGGGCCGCCCTGTCCAGACGTGTCAGGTGACATCATGCGCGCAGGGCAGGCCAGGGACCGTCGCCCACTCAGCTGACCACCGTCTGAGATTGGGCTAACTGTGTGCAAAGACGGATCCAGTCATTCTTTATGGAGTAGGTGGGGTGCTCAAATACTTTCAGGGCACATTGTAAGCAGCTTTCACTGGTACGGGAAACCTGTGAGGAGGGAGTCTTTGTCCACTCATTATACCTAAAAGGAAATAATAAAAAGAAAGGAAATAGAGGGATAAAATTATTTCATCTTTTAAGCGCATGGCAAGTTTTGAATGCCATGGAATTTAAGCTTATGTGCTCCAGATTTGCCTGTCACCACAGGGTTACCCAACGCGGAGCGAAAGACAAAGGTTGTGTACTGGTCCACAAGATTCAACGTTGCACCGTATAGAAAGTCTGGTCTCCACTTCTAAACCCAGTAAGGCCCTAGTGCAAAGCCACTTCTTTTCGCGTGCGTCAGTGCCCGCGAGCTGAGCCTGTGCCGAACCAACGTGCAGTACAAATGGGGGGTGTGGGAGCATACTGTACAACAAGAGCGGCGAACGACATCGCAAAGTTTAGATCTGTCAACAAAAAGGACTCATCCAAATCTACCCCAAAGATGGCATAGGAAAACGACATATTTTGTTGTGATCGTCTGCTGTCATTGCTATTTATTGTCTAAACAATCACCACGTGTCGAACACCGGCACATCAATGACAAAACACGGGAGAAGGGGGGGGGGACTGTCTTGGGACGTTTGAGCCTTGTAGGTGCCTTCTACATGCATCGTCCTGAGAAACAATCTTTGTTCTTGCTTTGATTATCACTTACTTTAAGAATCGGCTTAAGAATCGGTTCTCCTTCTCGAAGTTGCACCATGCTTATCAGTGCATGGAGTGATAATAATTATAACTGATCACGACACAATTTAGGTGAGCAGAATGACCATGGTCTCCAGAATGATCGTTGCAATCGGGCTAGAGCAAATGGTGCCAGATTTTTCAAGGGTGTACCATGCGCATATGTGCCACTTTTTTCTTTCAGTTTAGCGGCTTTCGTTGGTCGTCATCGGCGTAGAATGCGGTGCTGCGGGTATGACTCTGTACCACGAGTTCTTTTTAAGTGGTCCGTCAGCTGGCGGGAAGCCTGGAAATAAACGGCCCGAGGCTGTAGCTCATCTGTCGCCACAAAACGCGTCTTACCGGTGAAAACAATGCTTTATCGCATGTGTAATGAGAATACATGTAACCATCTAACAGAAATAACCGTTCTCTAGCATCTTAAGCACAGATTATCAGGTCAGAAGAAGTGCTGGGGGTAATTGGTCAAAAGGACGATATTAGTTCAGAATGGAAGCCGCTTGCATGAACGTTTTTCCACTTCTCTTACATTTCAGTCATGGATATCCTGCACGGTACCCACAAGCTGGTTACACTATTGCACGCAAGATGCGGTTGAGAAAATGAGCTCATGCCACAACATTGTGGACGGGATAGCCCTTTCCGGGTAGATTGATGCCCTTAAACATGGGTCATGCATAAAAAGGTTCGGGCATTCTTCATCAGAAACTTTCTTGCTTCTGACGTTATTCCTTGTGCGGTCTCTACACACCCTTTTTCAAAAACATGATTACTGCAGCCTCAGACCACCGAAAGTAAATAAAGCGATTTTCCTGTCTCAGCTTCTAAATCCCAGATGCACGAGGTGCCCTGGATGAAATGTTTTGCAATCTTACGAGTCATGGAAAAGACTAAGGGCTCTTATACTTATCTATATGGATCAATGTCCGAGGCGTGCATCGTTCCACCAGTTGTCCCGGCGAATCTCAGTCATGCAGCTCAAAACCGGACTCAAAACGATGGAATCCCAGCTTAAGTGACACACGCGGACGAAAACTGTGCACCAAACGTACCAGAAAACGAATCTAGCACAGTGCCGAATATGACACGACATCGGCGATTATCATCATACTGTGAAATTGAAAGCAGCTTACCGCAACCAGCTGCTGTCAATCTGACGATATCTTTGCTCATACACCAAGCGGATATGTTGAAAACACAAACATCTTAGGGAAAAACCATGTTATTCTTGACTAGATTGGTAGCTAGATAAAGCCGCATCGGTGAGACTCAGCTTCTTCCTGCCTATCGCCTTTGTGGCTTCGTAAGGATGCCGTCACTCTATATTTAATACCCATGTCCATTTAAGAAGTGGACTAGTTATCAACCGATTTAGTCAAGAAAGCCTTCATTTATTTTAGATGTTGGCACGCATTCTCATTACACATGCGACCAAAGGGTTGTTTCACCGGTAAGACGCGTTTTGCGGGAAAGGGCAAGTTACGGTGACGGGCCGTTTATTTCCAGTCATCCCGCCAGCTGACAGACCACTTAAAAAGAACTCGTGGTACAGAGTCATACCCGCAGCACCGCATTCTACGCCGATGACGACCAACGGAAGCCGCTAAACTGAAAAGACTGCCATCGTGGCATGTCCGGGGTTCGAGGCCCCGCAGACACCGAACCCGAGACCCCAGGACGGCGCCCTGTGCCGCAGCTGACCGTCAGCTGTTGTCACACACAAAGCTGCACAAGGCCGGGAGGCACCACCTGCTTGGGAACAAACGTACTGTTTACCAGGAACGGGCGAGCCCTGGAAGGCACAACAGCTGCGGGGGTGGCGACCTGCCACAGAGCACGCTCGCTAACGCACAAGAAAAGTGCGGCAAAACCGCACCTCAGATAATCGCGTGCCTTTATCCAGTGTGTGCACTTCCTCAAAAAGAAACAAGGCGTATCACACGGCTGCAACACGTCAAGCACTGCTGAAGGTCGCACGCCCCGTCACCCTGAAGAACTGTGCACACAGCCGGTAAAAACTGGGCCTTCCGATGGCTGGCAGGCTTCACTGGTCACAAACGGCCGGAACTGTCCTGCGTGGTGGTCCAGGATCATCACCCTCAACACCCACGCACCCCCACTCCCATCCGGCACCAGCCCGACGTCGGCGCGTGGCTCGGCCGGAGGCGGGGCCGACGCCCGGACAGGTGCACACGTGCATCGCCGCCCCTTTGTCCCCCGCTCCTTCCCGGCCGGCGGACCGGCCGTTGCGTCACGGGGCTAACGGAAAGGCGGGCGGCGGCGGCGCGGCGGCGCGGCGGGCGCGCAGTCCGCCGGCGGAGCGAGCAGAGTGCGGACGGGCCGTCCCGGTCCGGCGCGCGCCCGCCGACTCCGCCTGTCCGAGCAGAGCGCCACGCAGCACGCCATGACCATCTCGCAGATCCAGCGCAGCGTGGTCGGCGACCGCGACGCGGCCGCGCGCCCGGCGCAGCTGGACGGCCACCTCAGGCTCACCGGCAGTGGCAAGCCGCCCAGCTGCGCGGTCGTCTTCAAGACGACGGCGCCGCCGGAAGCCGACGCCGCGCGCGCCGCTCAACCTGAACGTGCTGTCGCGCGCCGAGCCGGACGCCAAGCTGCTGCACCCGAGCCGCCACTCGCCGCTGCAGAAGACCAGCCTCGAGCTGGCCAACTGTCGGCTCTCTAAGAAGGGCCTGTGCGGGCTCGAGTCGTGCTTCTGCCAGCGCTCTCTGCGCGACAACAAACAACATCAAGCCGTCCTGGAGCTCGTCGGGCGGCAGTGCCGGCCTCTCTAATGCCAAGAGCAGCAGCTTCTCCCGCACCAGCGCCGGCTACGGCCTCTCTCCGCTCGCGCAGCGACGCCGACTGCGGCCTGCGCATCCTCGGCGTCAAGTCAGAGTATGGCATACGCGACCCGGCCAGCAAGTCCACGGCCTCGTCCAAGTCTAAGGACTCTTGGGGCTCCGACGTCTCGCTGGGTTCCGTCGACTCGCTGAAGTCGCCGCGCGACCTGGACTGGACCGACAGCAAGATCTGGAAGGACACCGCCTGGGATATCAGCCCCGTCAAGGATGACCACTGGAAGGACTCCATCACGTCCTGGCGCAACAGCGCTCTCTACTCGTGGCGCAAGGAGTCGGACGCCGCCGACGAGCTCTGGAAGAAGCCCAAGGCGACGCCGAAGCCGAGCGCCTCGAACGGCGCGCCCAAGTCCTTCACCGTCACAGCCCGCACCTTGCAAACCTCCTTCGATCGGTGAGTACCGCAGACCCAGCGGACCGTGTGCCGCCCACTCTTGTGCTCCGTAAACCGACTAGTGTTCCGTCGGCCAATCGGTGTTCTGTCAGCCGACTGGTGTTCCGTCGACCGACTGGTGTTCCGTCGACCAACTGGTATTCCATCAGCCGACCGGTGTTCCCTCGGCCAACTAGTGTTCCGTCAGCCGGCTGGTGTTCCACCAGCCGACTGGTGTTCCATCAGCCGACTGGTGTTCTGTCAGCCCATTGGTGTCCCGTCGGCGACTGGGGTTCCGTCAGCAGACCGGTGTTCCATCAGACAACTATGGTCACCAGTGTTCTATTCGACTAGTGTTCAGCCGACTGTTGTCATCTCCACGTGCTGGTCGTCAGCCCTTAGCTTTCCTCGCGTATTCGATGTCTTGTCCGTGGTCACGCTAGTCGTCTTGCCGTATGCACGTGCTCCACCACACCTCAGGAGGAATTAGACATCACGCCCACGTGGCGTTACAAGAAAAGGAACGCCGCTCAGAAAGTTCAATGCCTCAACGACTTTTGAAGAACGAAAGTTTTCGTAGTCCGATGTCCTCCGAGTTTTTCGGTCGGCAGCGGCGCCCCCACTAGAATGGCGAGTCGGCCGCTGGAGCAGTCCGAGTCGGTACATCGTGGGGAGATCTCGACAAAGATTGCGAGAAGAAACGTGGGCTCACGCCGATGTTAGGCGCTGTGCCCCATCTCCTGGCGCCGCGCCCGCCACTCCGAGGCCCTGAGACTGGTCTGGTGCCGTCTCCACTACGCCGGGCCCCGAGACCGATCTCCCGGCCCCGTTTCCGCCCCGATGAGACAGCTGTGGTGCCGCCTCCGGGTCAGCTCTGCAGCCAAGTTGGCCGGGAGCCGTGAAACTGGAGCTGCCGCCGGCGGTCTTTTCGCTGTGGCGCCTCTCGCTCGGTGCTCGGTCCAGTAGGCAAAGTGACGCCTCCCAGGCCAAACACCGCAACCCATCTGTGGCGCTTCTGCCTGATGGCTTGGAACGGTTGGGCTGGTTGGAATATGGCTGACCGACCAGTTATACGGCAAGACATATATTGGAGATTTGCCTATGAGACCTGGTCTCAGATTTGCTGGGGGAGTGAAAGCTGGAAGAAAGTATTTCCATAATAATTGTTTATTCGATTTTGTACTACGACACGTGCTGTGGAGCGTGTGCCGCAGCACGGTGACGAATCGCTGAGGAGCGGGGTCACTGAGGCTCTCGGACGTGTGCCAGTCACGTCTTGCCGGTCACGGCCCTGGCCGCCGGCGCTTGACCCTGCTGACCTCGCCGCATTCGGATGCGTGGCTGGGCCCGTCGCGGCGTTTTGGGCCGCCGCCGCGCTTTCGCGAAGGCCACCCGGAAGCCGGTGCCTGACTGGCCACGTCTCGAGGCTGGCCAGGCTCGGCTCTGGCCTCCGCGGCCACCGCCGGCCGCGACGGCGCCGGCTGCGGCTCGGCGCCGTCCGAGGGCGGGCGCGGATCGTGCCGAGGCGCCCCGCGCTCCCTTCCGATGCGACGGCGACCGGTGTGCGCGCGCGTGACCGGCGACCGCGATGGCTCCGTCGTGTGTGAGTGCTGCGGTCGCGTCGAGGTGCAGCGCCCAGCCAACGGCTGGGGGTTGGGCACCACTCTGTTCCAGTCGTGTGGGAAAGCACACATCGCAGCGCGGCGGCGGCGGCGCGGTCGGACGTGGGCTCGGCGATCAGGTCGGACGTGGGCCAGACGATCAAGTCGGACGTGTACTCGACGATCAGGTCAGGTCGGACGTGGGCTCGACGATCAAGTCGGACGTGGGATCAACGACCAGGTCGGACGTGCGCTCGATGATCAGGTTGGACGTGGGCTCGATGATCAGGTCGGACGTGGGCTCGACGATCAAGTCGGACGTGGGCTCGACGATCAGATCGAACGTAGGCTCACCGTCGTGCTGGGCGCCATAGGAGTCGGGCAGCCTGCGCGCCCTAGAGGCCAAATCCCCACCATCCTTGGCCGGGTCGGACGCGTGCTCCTGCCGGGTCGGACGTGGCCTCCACGCAGCTCGCCGCTGGCCTCCGTGTGGGTCAGATCGAGCGTTCTGTGTTTGTCGACGCCGTGCCCCTCAAAGGGCACGCGGTTCGCCGCGCCCGCAACCACCGAAAAGAGGGCGTCGCGGCGATGGCAATGATGCGACGCTGGCCCGATGGTGTGGCATGACTGCAGGCTTGGGATCTCCTCGCATGTGGGGCCATGCCATTATTATTCATGGTCCCGTGCCACACATTCGCGCCTTGCATGGGATTAGAGCTTCCTTTGATCCCCGACAGTTTGCGCACGTTTCCCTTTTGCTGGCTCTATAGGCACGAAAGCCGCGGTTTTCTTGGGCAAGATATATCATGATAACATCGAGCAGAGCATTAATCGTGAAGGTACACATTGTGATTAATTGGGGACCAAGAAGCATCGTTTCTACCACGCCATTGATCTCAGATCGGTACGGCCCCGTACTTACCACGTCATTCATGGATGAAAACGCCGACCATTGCCATCTACCGGGGAATGAATAGGTCTGATAACATAGCCCGTTACCCTGCGCCTTAATGGTCCATAAAAGCACGCCCCGTTTAAAGCGTGTACCGTTCCAGTTCAGTGTACAAACCTATCTTGAGGTGATGTAGTGAACGGGCTTCTTTGGCGTGCGCTCAAGGTAACTGACTTCTGCCCGGTGCCCACTGCCTGGCCATGCAGCGTGAGTGCTTTTCGGCGGGCATTGCTGACGCCCGTCGTGACTGTGAACTGCCAGGAAAGGCCGTCCATTACAAACGGTCCCGCAAGCGATGCCAGCTTTCGTTTTTGCTGGTCCGTAAGCAGCTGGCCATTCAGGGACCACTCGTCATCTGGCCATCTAATGAACCAATCTGTCATCCCTGGAAAAAACTGACGGGGCGCTTCCCATGATGGAGAGACAAAGTTTTCTGGTTGGAAACGGGTCTCTCTTCAGACAGCTCGGCCTATGTCTGTGGTTTCGGTCTGCCTGTCCGAGGGAAGCAGCCGGCGCGACTCGGCGGTGGACAGCGCGGAGCGCAGACAGGTCTCTGTCCGAGGAAGCCCCGGGGCGCCGTCGGGCCCAGCGCGACTCGCGGTGGACAGTGCGGAGCGCAGACAGCGGTGGACAGCGCGGAGCGCAGACAGGTCTCTGTCCGGGAAGGCCCCGGGGCGCGGTCGGCAGCAGCGGTGGACCGTGCGGAGCGCAGACAGGTCTCTGTCCGAGGAGGCCCCGGGGCGCGGTCGGCAGCAGCGGCAGACGGCGGCGCGTCTGCATGTCTGTCTGCTCGGGCGCACGGCAGCCGGTCGATCCGTTGCAGCTCAATGACCTGGCGCTGAGTGCACGGCTAATGGCCGGGCTATTACATGACAGGCCACTCTCGCCGGCTCACAGACGCAGCCAAGTGGCGGCAGCCATGAAAAACGGCCAGCCGACGGACATGATTATATATGCATACATGCATATATGTATATGTATATGTACATATTTATTTATAACCCATTTACAACAACAAACCTATTTGTTGCAAGTGACTAATGCTAACGCCATAAAAATAGCTTCCGCAAGAAATGTCTATATGAGGTCAGGCCGTGGTGGCAGGAAGCAATGTGATAAATATTTGCTATTTACAGCTTTTTATCGACGTTAAGCTACGCAAAACATATACTATTGTGCGCCGACACATGCTGAATGCATATCAAGCTTCTTTGATTCGCATAAGTGTTGTAGGTGTGCTTCATACATGATTAATGATAAGTTTACGTGCCAAACATTTGGAGCCAAATTAATTATTCAAATCGGACTGTTGATCGGAAACTTCACCCTGGAGAAAAACCAGTTTCGGATGGTTGTGGGCTAGTTGTGCCTCATGATGCTCAAGCCAGAAGGCCCAACAGCCTGGACAACGTTGCAAGGCGCACAGACTACTTCTCTGATTATATTTTGGGTCAGTTTGCTGGGCGCGCGCGGCGTTCGGTACGTCACCCGTCTTACTGACCTCAATATGGAAAACACAATTAGCATGTTCCTCTGTTTAGTCAGTCTGCGGGGCGTTGCTTTGACTGAACAGCGTCACATCTTCACGTAATTTGTTCATCAGGCATTCATTTCCATACAGCCTTCATTACTCAGTGTCGCAACGCGCGCGGCGCGTGCGCGTACCGCTGTGCAGCACCTCTCACGCCACACTGCGCGTTCCACCCCACACGTGGCGTCTAACGCTCCGCGTCTGGCTGCTGGGGGGGGGGGGGGGGGGGGGGGGGGGGCTGGCGCGTGGCTCTGTCTGGCGGCGCGTGCGTCCCGGCGCGCGCCGCCGCCGCCGTCGGCAGCGCTGAAGGCCGCGGTCGCACGCCGGCGGGGCTGATCGCTGTGTTTGTGGGACCGACTGCCGGGTCTGTCGATGTATTTACCGGACGGTCTGGCGCCGGTCTGGTCTGGGCGGCGGGGAGGGGACCGGCTGGTCGTGTCCGGACATCCTCCAGATTGTGTCGGACTGTGACCCGACGACGCACGTGAGCGGCGCGGCCCCTCCTCCCCCCCCCATTCCCGAGAAAGCACAACAGGAGAGGGTGGGGGGGGGGGGGGGGGGGGGGGGGCGCAGGCGACCATGTGGGGCGAGGGCTAGCGGTGTGAGCGCATGTCACTCAAGTCCGGCGCTGACTCAGGCCGGCGCACCGGGACTACCTATGATTCGCACACGCCCACGGACTGCATGATAGCGCAAGTCCGCGCGTCACAGCTACCTTTGTTACGACACGGGCAGTCTTTCAACAGGCTCCGGGTTTGCCCAAGGTAAACAAGATCATTCGCCACTGCTTTAAGGTAGTCCATCTTTTATTGAATCACGTCCGCTATCGGATGGCTCAGCCGTGTGTTTTCCGAAATGATCGGGCATGCCCTGAAGGTGTCTTGAAAAACCGGGCACGGCGGTCATTGGCAAAAAGGGACTGTTGATCCTGGAGTTC